GTAACAATCAAATCAGGCATGCTTTATACACCGCCAAGGCATGGGTGAGGATGTAAGAGAGACTTGCCCATTACAACTGGGATGCTGATGTCAACAACAAAAACAAAAAAGCAAATGGTTTGATGCAAATGGGACAGTGACCACATCACAGGCTAAAGTTTAAATTTATCACGTAAGCCTGAGAGATTGCACATTTAATTTGTTTTCATGTTAGATTCAAGAGAACAACACAACTTAAACTGCTCTTATATTTCACTTGAACAGCGGAAGGTAGAAATAAAAACTAACCTAACTTTTCATAATGGATGCTATAAACAAGGCTATAAAAGTCAGAAAAGAAATACTCTCGAATTGAAATATTAATAATAGGAAATATTAATCTCAAAGACAAGAATTCTCTTTCTGTGCCCGAGACTCCTGCATGACATAGCTCTGAGAAAGACAAGAAGGAGGTGCGGGCATGATAACATAACCTACGTAACCTCAGGATGAGTACCAGTGTAAGTGATGAAAAGACCAGGGCTGAAAGAGTCACTTGTCTCATAACCTGGAGGATTTTCAGATTCCTAGAGAAAAAGCTGAACAATTCCCAGTTTCCAGACCAGAACTGAAAATTGTCATATATGAAAGAGTAAATCCTTTATAGCAGTAGCAGATTATCTTATTAGTGCTAACAGAGGAAAGCAATTACATAAATTACAATTCTTTTTGTTCTTGATTTTTTGCTTTGCCCTCTAAATACGCTCTTTCTGCTCCCCACCAGTTCCTAAGCTGCCCCATAGGCATATCATGATGACTGACTTTTTGCTGTGAGCAAATCGGAATTGGTGTGGTAAGAAAAAGGAATGTTATTTCTTGTGGTACATTTAGTTGTTTGAGTTGAGATTGTTTTTCAAATAATTTGACTTTGATAAATGGATACTGGATACTCACAACTACAAAATGGTTTACTAAAGACAGAAAAAAAACCTCTTGTCCTTTCTGAAGGAAGAGGTTAGAGCTTGTGTTCTGCCAGCGCTTTGATGAGAAGGAGAGAAAACAGTCTGAGCAAACCGGCGCTAGAAACTCCTTATATCCTCTTACCAAGGACCCTCCTGAATGGCTTATGACACCAAAATCACTGCATATTTTTACTGACATAAATCGTAGATGGTTGTAAAGCAGCTTTCTAATGCTTTGAAAATGTAAATGCTTAGACTATTCTTACTGGCCAAATGTAAGGAGACCCAGTTAAGTTTCACTGAAACTATTTCTAGTCAAATTATTTGTTTGATAGATCCACTTTTTCTTGAAATATATGGATTTTGAAAACAAACATTTTGAACAGAATAGACTGGGTTTATATTTGAATAATTACAATTCAACAGACTGAAATAGAGTGCTGAATCTTATTAACAAAGTGACTTTCCATACCATTCATTTAAAATAGTTTGAGGTGATCAAAACAAACATCAAAAAATACGCTTTGCCAAAAGCAACATCTTGAAAACTTGTTTCGTATAAGCATTAAAAGTTCACCTTTTTGCCTGACACATGATAGTTTATCAGAGTCTTTAGCACACTATCTTAGCTAAATCTTGACCTTTTCATGAGATGGAACTTTTTTTTCTACTTTTGATGAGCTCCAGTTCTCACACTATTAAAAGAATAATAACATAATCTTGCAGTATATATCAACAACAGCAATAGGTAAATTTTCAGTAATTTAAATCAGGTGTTTCACCAAAAAGGAAGAAGAATCTTCCTTTTCACAGAATCACAGAATGGTCAGGGTTGGAAGGGACCTCTGGAGATCATCTAGTCCAACCCCCCCGCCAGAGCAGGGTCACCTACAGCAGGTTGCACAGGACAGCGTCCAGGCGGGTTTTGAATGTCTCCAGAGTGGGAGACTCCACCACCTCTCTGGGCAGCCTGTGCCAGTGCTCCACTACCCTCAAGGTAAAGAAGTTCCTCCTCATGTTAAGATGGAACTTCCTATGTTCAAGCTTGTGCCCATTACCCCTCGTCCTATCACTGGGCACCACTAAAAAAAGACTGCTCCCATCCCCCTGGCATCCTCCCATTAAGTATTTGTATGTATTAATAAGATCTCCCCTCAATCTTCTTTTCTCTAGACTAAAGAGACCCAAGTCCCTAAGCCTTTCCTCATATGAGAGATGTTCCAATCCCCTAATCATCTTTGTAGCCCGTTGCTGGACCCTCTCCAGCAGATCCCTGTCCTTCTTGAACTGGGGAGCCCAGAACTGGACGCAGTATTCCAGATGGGGCCTCACCAGGGCAGAGTAGAGTACACTTACCCTTGTTGAACTTCATAAGGTTTCTTTCTGCCCAACTCTCCAGCCTGTCCAGGTCTCGCTGTATGGCAGCACAGCCTTCTGGCGTGTCAGCCACTTTTGATGAATGATTATTCATCACGCCATCAAATTATTCAAGGCATAGCTAAAAATGTCTGAAAACAGTTGCAACTTTCTATTTGTTTAACAGCTTAAATACTAAATATCATCCGAGTTCTAAATTTATTGAGAGCCTATATAAGAAGTTTTACCTTAATTCTTTCTCTTAACAACTTGAGATAAAGAGACCAAGATGCAAGGGAAGCAAGATTATTCTTATTGTATTCAGCTGCCTTGGAGGTAGATGAAACCCACAGATGCAGCAGTGTGGCAAAACTGGCATACCTTTTGCTTATACAGTGAATGTTCCATGGATAGTTACTACTCCACAGTTGTCAAAACCTGGCACCTGCGTGGTGATTAACATGAGATTCAGGTGGGGCCTGAGGTGAGTGGATTCCCACCAACACCGAGACTTTTAGGAAAAAAAACCACCCTAAAGATTGCTGTTAGAGAGTGATAAAAACACAATGTATGAACAAAAGAAGTTAAGGGGCATAAGTAATACAAATAATGCACAAAAGGCAATACAAATAATGCACAAAAATATTTATGTGGACCTTGAAGAGGGTAGATTTAGAATCGATATTAGGATTAGATATTAGAATATTAGATATAGAAAAGAATATATTAATATTAGAATAGATAGTAGGAAGAAATTTTTCACTCTGAGGGTGATGAGGCACTGGAACAAAATGCCCAGAGCAGCTGTGGCTGCCCCATCCCTGGAGGTGTTCAAGGCCAGGCTGGATGGGGCTTTGAGCAACCTGGGCTGGTGGGAGGTGTCCCTGCCCATGGCAGGGGGGCTGGGACTCGATGATCTTCAAGGTCCCTTCCAACCTAAACCATTCTATGATTCGATGCAGAAGAACCTAGAACTAAATATGCAGTAAGGGATTAAAAATAAAATGTCTTTAGGATGGCTACTGAGAAGTGCTGATTTTTCAGAAGGCAATACTCAGTGATTATTCACAGTCCCTATAGCATTTGATCACATCTGAAAAGAACTGAATTTAGTCCATTCACAAATTACGTCTGCATTGGTTAACTCTGGAATTTTGATTTAAAAATACTGCACCAAAACTACGTAAGAAAAAAAACAGATCAAACTAAAAGAAAATTCATGTAAATCTAATTGATATCTGTCAACTATTCATCCTAGTAAAGGATTGAACCAAAGTTCTTGTTTCTGAAGAGTTTGATAGGTATTTAACCACATATTTTTAGCTAAAAAAGGAATAACATGCCCTTAGAGTACTAACACCATAGTGTAAAATTAAATGCATTCTGTTACATTTTTAACATCAACGAAAAATTCCAATACACCTAAAGATCGTATATGTAGAGATGGAAGCCTATACATGCAACTATCAGTTAGACAAGAATCAGTGTGTACTTTTACAAATACATAGGATTAGTGTCATGCTGATTAGCTAGCTATCATGATACTTCTCTCAGTGATCAATATTCAAAAGTTATCAAATCTTGTTTTTAGGATTAGTGTGCCTTTACTCTACATGTCACCAAAGTAAAGATTGGATCTTTACCCCAAGGTGTTCATAATCTAACAGCTGGATTTTCTTTTAATATTATTTACACTGAACAGCTCTGCCATGCATAAGATGTTCAAATTTGCAGATAAGGTATTGTAAATGAGCAGAGATCAAACTGGCAAACAAGGTAATAACAGAGAAAGTGAGCCAACTTTAAAGAGTGGGGAAGAAACACAATCTTTGTTAGGGCATTTTTTCCTACTTACACAGTTTGCTGCACTTCCTACTTTGTCTTAAGTGAAAACAAGACACAGTGCATAAATAGAAAATCAACACGGAAGGGTAATGGAAAGAACTTTACAAGACCAGATGAACAGAAAAAGATGACTGCTTCAGGTGTAAGGCAGAGAACAGAAAAAGAAACAGTGGCATAAGGACCAGACAGAAGAATGAGAAGAGCAGGATTGGAAAGGGTAGAAGACAGGAAAAACTAAAATTTAAGCAAAGGCCCATACAAGTATGGCTCTGGGATCACAACCATTTTGGGTTTATTTTACTCTTTTTATGAAGAGTATTTTTAATTTTTTATTTTTTTTCTAATATTTTATTTTATTTTACGCACTTCTGGTTTTATTTTAGTCTCCTTTTCACATCTAGTCTATAACAGGGTGACTTGATTAAATTAGTGGAATTACTGGTGATATACATCCAATGTGAAGAGCGCAGGATCGGGCCATGAGGTATGAAAGAAATTTGAGGCAGAGACTGACAGGAGACAGTTGGAGTTCTTTAGAGTAATGTTTAGATAGTTTGCGTTAAAGTTGAAGAATGAGGGAAACAATTAAAAGAAGTGAAAACAACAGATAAAGCAGACATATCTTTCACATTAAATACACAAACTGTATTCAACACTTCTTTAGATGATGGAAATGCAAAGTCTGTTAATGTCCCATCCATTTTATCGTTGGACTTGATTCATTATTAACTCTGATTACTTCTGATTTTACACCATCAACCTTTTAGTAATTTATTTACTACACAATCAGTGAGACAAAATAGATTCTTTTTGGTCTGAATTCATAATTCTACTGTCTACTATTTGCTGTCATGTTACCTTGCCAACAAGCACCAACTGTCAGCTGCATGGCTATGTGTGAAGGGTGGATAGGCCAATCATTGGTCACAAGGTAAGGTTCATATGTTGTTCCATCCATGTATAAGGTAACAACGGGAAACTCAACATTGACAACATAGTAATGCCATTCTTTATCACAGATCTGAAATACAAAATTCAAGAGAAAAATATTAAATAGCACTTATTGTCAGGTGACTAACTTTTATATCCCATACATTTTAAAAATCATATTGTTTCCAAATTTCATTCATAGAAAAAAAAACATTATTGCGATTTACACATCACTAAAATGAATGAAAGTTTAAGACAATGTTGATAAATACTCATGGTATACTTGCAGAACGTATTTGATAAACAGAGGCATCTTAAAACACACTCTTTGAAAACAAGGCATGGAAAAAACAGAAAAATCAGACAATTTGGTATTTGTTCTGTATTTTCGTGTTTGTTAATACATAATATTTGTTTCTTAATGTCTATACTGACTTTTGAGAATACAAAACTGTGTGTAAGAGAAGCATACTTGGGATGTATCGGCATAGTTACTGGGGGTCCCTATTAGCTTCAAATTCAGAAAATATATAGCACTTAGTCACTAGATTGATGAGTTATTATCAATGATTTGATTCCATTGTCATTATTAACTTCTTGCATTAGTACTCAGAAAGTCCTGTGCAATGCATCAGGACCTCCACAGTGCTAGAAGGACCTCTGTTGAGCTCTGTATACACACAGATGGACAAGTAGTCTATGTGTCTACCTGATTTGGGCAAGAAATCTCCATGCTCCATCTTTGGCCTTAAGCTTTTTCCCAGATAGCCAGCAAAATGAGGCTCTATATGGTTTCACTGATATACGTCAGCTTTGAAAAGCCACGACCACAGTTACAACATACTTTCACAATGACAATAACGGTGTCAAATCTCATATGAATTTCTGAGCTGGCCAACCAGGGATCGCTGCAAGATGGTCAAATTCTGTTTTAGCTCAGAAACGTGCAGCTAGCTGAATCCGTGCCTCTGAAGACAGAAGTCTAGTGTGTAAATATCAACGCCTGCACAATTCTTTTTTCCTTTGTTGTATCTTTCAGATTTAAAAGTTCAAAGGAATAAATCACAGCAAATTGGTAGGATGGGTGGGCTGTATTTAAAAATAGGTCTATAGTTACAATCATGCTCCTTTCAATTCTGTAGAGATACTGTTTTGATGTATTAAGAAATGGAAGTGCTTGAATGCAGATATCCTTGCCGTTTCATAGCAGCAAGCAGAAAAGTGATGTTTCAACATAACACTTTGTCCTTGGCCAGGTTAAGTGCTATCTGCTGCAATATCTGCCCTTTGAAAGCAAAAGCTAATGTTTTGTTCCAGAAGACATTTCAACAAGAACTTAATCACTTCTATTTCAAACGGATACATTTATTACTGCAGACATCATAGCTCCGCAGCAAGAGATAAATGCAGCAAGGGGCTGCTAGAGCCTTTTGTAAGCACTAGACAGCACAAATGTTTTCTGAAGGTTAAATGAACTGAAACCAAAATTGAAAGTAAATAAATTGGAAGACTGAAAACTTTATTGAACAAACAGCAATCATGAATAGTATTATGCAATCCTCCCTTTCAAGGAAAACCAGTTTGCCAAGATTCCTGACCTGATCATTAGAATGATTAGAATGTGATGCATCACAGCTGCATGTGTCAGACATTTTATATAAAACAAAATGTGCCTGAGTTTGAGAGACCTTGCATACCAAAACCTACCGGCATTAATACTTGACACTTTTCAGAGAACTGTCCCAGAGTATTTCTGTTTAGCAGCCCTAAACTGCATCACTTGGGATGCCCCAAGTGCTATTAATGAGTGAGCAATCCTTCTCATATTTAACCAAAGCAAGAGCACTTATATATATGTATTAAATATAGCAAACAAACATTTTGGGATATCATATACACAAAAAGCATAATAATGTGTAGCTAGTCTGATTACTCTATTGACTGACCACTAAGGCAGTTACATTTGTCAAAGAAAATGCTTTCTGGAAACACAAGATTACATAAACTCCACAACTCAAGATTCCAGCAACTGGGCTCTAGTACTTCCAAGAAAAATGCAGATGTCCAATAGCAGACATCCACACTAGGTAAAGTACTTATTAACCTTTATTTTTACTGATATATTCTGGAACTGAACACAGTGCAAGTGTAGACAGCTGGTGAAGCCCTCAAACAATCGCTTGTATGCTTTTCCTTGAATTTCAACACATAAACACATAAAGTTTTATTTTAAAGGTAATTTAGGCACTTAAAAATCTCAGCTTGGCATTTCCTGACATTTTAAAAGCACCCAAGTTGGTCAGGTGCTTATTTGTCATACAATTTCAATACACCTTAGGTACACAGACACATGTATATTCCACCAAAAGATCTTTAAGTATCTATACTGATATTCTACAAGGAAGCAATAAAATTATTTAAAAACTCTGGAATACATCCCACTCACTCAGCAGCAGCTAGTATTTCATGTCTGGCCATTTCACAGGCAACGAAATAATGAAATAAATAATTGTGGCATGTAATTTGTTATGCTGTCATTTCAGACACCTTCTTCACCTTCTCAACATAGGAAGCCCATTTTTTCCCTGCACGCATTCCACAGTGGCAATGGAATGTAATATGATTGCAGTGAAGCCATGAAAATAAAATTATTAAATATACCAGTTTGGCAAACAAAGAAATTTTAATCATCTCAAATAAGACTTTATTTAAAAAAAAATCTAATTTATAAAGCTAGCCTAATGAGATAAAATTACTGATAAGTAAGCTTGGCTTTCAAAGATTGCTGGATGGCTACGTTGGTCGAATCACTCTGCCACGTCAGTCTGCCTCTAAAATGTATTAATCAAATCACAGTGAATTAACCAGCTTGAAGTCTTAGTGATGATTACAAGCCATTGCATTGGGATATGCTTTTATGAAATAGATGAAAACAGACCCAGTATAAATCCTGGAAAAAGAATGTGCACTGCTGTTTGTTCGACCTAACTTTGCAGAATATAAATCATCCTGCCTGAACTGATGAGCATCTGCTGGACTGTCACCCCCCAGGTACTGGCCTTTACAGATCTGTAACTGTTTGTAAGACCATGGAGCACTTCAGTAGCAGTCTCTTCTTCATCACAGTTGAATTTTGTGTCCTCTCATTAAATAAGCTTTCTGCTGTTTGGTAGTATTTCAATAAGTAAAACATTTAGGCCACTCTATAATCAAGACTATAGTGGAGAAGCCTATTATACTCATTTATAGCAAAATGGGATCATTAATGAAGAGCCACATTCACACAGGGATTACAATACCCAAGCAGCAAGAATACTAATGCTTACCTCTGCTTACAAGGTCAGGAGTACACCTGGGATTATAAATCGCATATTTTCATAAAGCAGCATAATAGAAAACTAGTCATGCTTTGTGTATCGCTGTTTCGGTACAAAAATGTCCTCTCCAACATTTGTGCCCGTCTAGAAAAATGCAAAGTCTACAGAAGGTGAAGGCGGCACTGTTTCCACTAATGAAGAGCTGCAGCACATATCTTCATTAAGCAACTGAATTATCACACTTGTTAATTAATAGTTAATATTATTAATCATTGTTATCCTTCTATTAACAGCAACGCCTTCTCTTTGGATGTACATTTACTATACTTACAAATCTGTAAGTTCTTCAGCAAACAAAACATTTACCTCAAATCCTTTGTATGGTCCTATACAAAATACGTACAGTGCTTATACAAAAACCTTAACAATGGAATCGTTTCCTTACTTGCAAGCATGTCTCCATAAAGCTGAGGGAGGTCATCACTGTGAAAACTTTGTAAACATGCAGAGACAACTCAGGCTCTGCATTTTTATCTCACTTTACCAAAGACAACAACAAATGGAGGGAATCTCCCTTTGATCTTATGGTTAAAGGCGTTAGCGTTATCCACTCAGTTACAGCACCCAGATCAAACCCTCTGCCCTCTTCTCAAAGCAGCCACACGCTTCTGTAATTCTGCACACAGTACAGAACACAGATGATATTTGGATAGAGATAGGGATATTATTTTGAGTTTAAAAAATACCATGTTTTTCTTTCCATCTCCAAAATAATCCTTTCTGAAAAAGCTTTGTAAAAATTTACAATTTTTGGCATTGTTCTTTTCTGTTAGTGACAATAAATAGACATTTAAATGGTTCCAATATATTTTGATAGATTTTTTATTATATATTTTTGATATATTTTTACAGCAATCAGAGAAAGCACTGAACTGCACACAAACAGGGAGCTCAAAGCCAACAGACTTAAAGGTTCTGAAAGACGGTTTCATGACAGCTTTAATAGGGACCTAAGGAATACTGCCACTGTAAGAAAGCAAGCCTGAAAAAGATATTAATTTGGAAGCATTAGGCAGTGGATTTCAGGTAAAAGTAAAAATGTTACATATAGCTGCAGTTTTTTAAAAGAAAAATGTTGTATATTAACATATGCAAAATAAAAATAACATTTTTTAAAGAGCTTTAGGCAGTGTAGTCATTATGCATAAGATTGATGAGTTTTGCATGAAGACAATCCAAAGGTGAGCACAGAAAAGGCTGTCTCCTGTCCCACTTGGGTTTACAACTGTTGTCTCTGATGAATGGGAACTCTAAAGACAATGTTGAATGAGCTTTTATCTGTTACTTTAGAAACTCATTTAGTATCTTAATTGTTTTCCTATTGTCAGTTCTCATCCACAGACTTCTACAATTAAGGCATGTTAGTTTAAAAAAAGAAAAGAATATACCTTAGGGCATTGCTTTTGCTAAAACTCTGCTGCTCCCTTTTGATTTCTTCAAATAAATCTTTGCCTTAAATTTCAGTAGCTGAGCTACCTGCAAAAGCTGATTAAGTGATATAGGGAAATAAGTTACACAGTTGCCTTTTTTATCTCTTTTTCTCATTGTATTGTATCTCATTTCTCTCTCTTTCTTTTTTTTTTTTTTTTAATTATCCCATCACCACCAAGAACAAAAGATATACTGCTAAAAATGTGCTAGTGTAGACCGCAAGTATGTAATTCAGTGTGCAGATATTCAGTATTCAGGATGTGCTTACTTCATTGTATAGCTG